ATAGGTGACGCTTCAATTAGCGCTACTTGACGTCCTTGTTCCGGTTACACGCGAAAATGCCATTTTTTTTGTAAACATAACTTCTGTAGTGTTTACAATGTTTACAGTAGTTTTTTTGCCCAGTAGTGCTACTATTTTCACACTTGACTCTTACTATTGTGAAGGGATTTACTATTAGACCGCTAATTCTTATTTATCATTTGTTTGCTCATTTCTTCTGGTTGGCTCTAAAAATCCCTTTGGGCTAGATATAAGGCTTGTGGTTTATTTGCCCTGAGCTCTGATACCTAACTTCAAAAAAAATTATTATTTTTTGCATTGCGCTTAATAGGTTTTCCATTAGCGCTATGTTTCAAGTTTTCTTGGCTGAAAACGCGATGTAAGTGCTGGTTCTTAAATCCATTATCCTCTTACTGACGAAGGCCAATGACTAATCGGAGCAAAGCTGCTGTAACACTGAACAAACCGCTCGTTAGCCAACTACATGTCCTTTTTTTCTGTATCTTCTTCTTTTCCGGATCTTTTAGGGCGTTCCTGCTCGATCCTCCCATACAGCCTCGTTATGTTCTCGTTTGCAATTTTGTGGATAGTCTGGCGTTATCCGCGAAAATTGCTCAATCGTACCGGTTATTTGATGTTCATATGTGATGACATCCCTATTTCCTTTTTGGACAGTGGTCCTTTTTTAGGTGTGGATGATTGATGACTTTGATGGAGTTTTGAGGACTTTGACGTCGAAACTCAACTTGATTTTCACGATCTCTTTATCTCTGAAATTTATAAATTTCCGTGTCGAATGCGTCGCTTTTGCGTCTGTGATTGATTCAACGACGAGAATGTTAAGACAACCATAGAATTGAATTAGTATTCAGGCAAAAATTTCACATAATTTGGGCATACTACTTTGCATCGTAAATCATAAATCTCATACACAAGATCTCATTCCCATCAATCTCATTCTATTTTATCCTGTTATCAACTACGGCAGAACCCTCTCTAAATTTAGTTCCGCAAAGAAACAACAAAACACTATCCTAGCAAGT